TCCAACAGCCTTCTTGACCACGCCTTGAAGACCAACGAGCACCGATTTGGTACGATTATTCCCAGTGACGACCACCTTAGTATGACGTGGAAGCACCGAGAGCTCTTCTTCGCTACTGTCTCCGCAGCTCTGTAACTGCGAGAAACCGCCACCATTGACGGAACTCTCCATTGCCTCCAACATGCCTTTTTTTTTTTTTGCAAAAAATAAAAATAAAAATTCCCAACTCAGTGAGTCACTTGTGTGGGTCAAACTCGGCGGAAATTGGACGCGTTAAGGATCAAAATTCCATTGGATCGGAAGATCATGCATTGGTGTATACGTATATGGGATTTTCGTAAGCAAAAGAGAGAGAAATTAAGGAGAAATATGAGAATTTTGTGGAGAGAAAAAACACAGTTTAGAGAGAGAAAGGGGAAAAAAATAAAAAGGAAAGAGAGAGAAAAAAATAAAAACAAGAGTGTTTTCTTAGTGAGAGAAAGATGAGAGTGACTGGTTTTTCTTTATTGGTTGCTGTTGCTATGAATCCCGACGACCCGAAATGGACCAATCGCAGCACGCCACGTAATGGCATTTAAGAGCATTCTCATTAATCATGCGCTACAGCAGTGAAAGAGAGAGAAACATGCTTGGTTCGCGGCATGATTCGAATACCACCAGCGGTTTTTTCCCACCCCTTTTTTTCCCTGCTTCAACAAGTGGTTTTGCTTTGTGTGGAGGGGTTGACCGTTTGACCAGCGGTAAATCTAGTTTGTGGGTACAGTGAAGTGACAAAAATGCCCTTTTCTCTCATTTCAAAATTCCTTCTTTCCCGTTGTTCGGACAGGTTTATCCGATGGAAATCCTACTAGTTTTTGACTAATTGGACTTAAAAAGCAATAATAAAAGAATTTAAAGACGACTTAGGTTCAAGATTATTTAAAAATTAAATAAAAAGTAACTTATGGGTTATGAAGCACATGATGGCAGTAGAGAAATTCTTCTTCTAAAAATCATTATTTTAATGTATAATGTCAGAGAACTACAGCTATAGGTTTAAGCAATCAATCTTTTTCTATGCTAATGCGGATAAGAGACCATTATTCAAAAGGTATCAAACGCAATTCTCATAATGTAAACTCAACTACTATGTACACAAAGGGATACTGTTTGATTAAAAGTAATTACAGCATTATTACATTCAAAAGAAGGTACTTACTTTATAATCGTGGAGTAAGTTTTTCAATTTTATTAATAATATTAGAGAGTCAAGTTTATGTAAATAAATTATTCAATAAATATATCAATATAAAAAATAATAATTCTTAAAATTAAAAAAATATGTAGATTTTTTTGAAGAAGGCTACCGACACGAATGTTAATGTTTTTTTGTTTTTTTTTCTTGTTGTTTTGAAGATTTTAGACAGAATCTTGAAACTGAGCAAACATATGAAGTTTGGTTAATATGGTAATTTTCAAAAGCTAGCAACCATAATAAAAAGGCAAAAAAAAAATTAGTACAACTGCCCCACGGTAAGAGAAAACGTAACGCAGACTGAAACGTAACGGAAACAGGGAATTCCCACAGGGGACCCACAAGGAGAGGAACCCCCATCTACCGTCGGTGTTGTCTTATCCAACATGGGATACTTCCCTCCTCCCCCCGCCCTCACTGAGGGCCAAAAAGGAAAAGGAAAAGGCCCTCTCTTTTTTGCCACCCCATTTTCCCGCCACAACGGATCCATCACATCCGTTGATTCATCCGTTGATTCAAGATGACGAGTGCCAAAACCGTCGGATCATTTCGGCGTCAATCTAACCGTCCGATTGAAAGTATAACTTTGCGGGCAACAGAGTCATCAAAAAAGCGGACATGTCCATATTAACATGTGTAATGATCACAAAGTTGAATGAGGAGTGGACCAACAAAACAGTTGGGACAAGACGACTGCAACCAAACCGAACCATTATCCCTGTTGGCCCCTACATTTAATCAGAGCCGTTGGATATTTGATAAGAATATGATGCATGGGCCGGTTCTATCGTGATTCGTGTAGGAATTGCAGCAACCGAATAGGTTCGGATAAAATTAAATTAATGGCGGTCTAATAATGTGTGTAATCAGACAATATTTTAGAGAGAATTGTTGACTTTAATGATTTGTTGCAGTGGAAGTGCTAGCGCCAGCCTTGTTTTTTTCCTAATTACAGGCCACTGGGTTTCTGTCCTTATTCGGCTACTGTGTACTTTAGCAGTAGGATTAAATTACCATTTCTTTTTTCCAGAAAGAAGGTTCTATAAAAATGGTAAAAAAATAATTAATGGAAGAAAAAGAAAAAAGCGGTTATAAATTACAAATAGATTTTTATTAAATAATGAATATTGCCACTATAAACTTGTTAACGTCAAAATCAAAAAAAGAAAAAGAAAAAAAATCCAAAATTAGACATGCAAAATTTCATATATCACATATTTATTTTATATGATTTGGATCTAACTTTTATCCACCACATATTTCAATTTTATTAAATTTTATTATTTTTAATTAAAAATAAAATTACTTGTTCGAGTCTCGCTGAAAAAAAGTATGTTTCATCGGTTTAAATATTTTAATTTTGTAATGAAATAATTGTAACTGCTAAAATAAAAGTTTGTTTAAAATAAGTATATGAATATATTTATACTTTTTTCTTATTCGGAAATAGAAGACAAAATATATATGAAGACAAAAGGATATTTTGTACAACGTAATGGGCAAAGGAAACAACAAAAGGAAATGGAAAAATTAGGAAGGTACAAGGAAAGGAAATAGATGAGATAAAATCAATCAAAGCAATATGAATCAGTTTGGATTTATCTTGATTTTAGGGTATAATTCGATGAATTCAATTAATTTTAATTTTTTAAAAAAATCAAAATTAAATCAATCTTATAGTCATTTCCATATATATAATAATGGGATGAATAAGGGGAGAGGGCCGATGCAAGCAGGAGGCACCAGGGTAAGGCATTTGATGGATAAAGCAGACAAGGGTGCATTCACATTTGGCTGCAAATTTTCTTCCAGTTTCTTGGGGACCCTTTTGCGTTGTTCCTCCCAGGGTGCATTCTCTGAGTTGATGGAAGAACAAGATAAAGGCCGACAGACAGGGGAAGAAGGTTAGTGATATGCATTCCATGCAGAGGATGCTACCAGCCTAGTGCAGCCAGGCTGTTTTCAAAACAAAACCTTGGAATATTGTCTCGCAAAGCCTTTATTTGTTTACTCAAGGACTGAAGAAGAAATAAAATTATGGGCAGTGCGCAGGGGCCACTAATACGAGAGAAATCATGAATGGTGCATATGGACCAGGGTATGCTCCTTATTATACATACAATCACCATTGGTAGTACCCTAGTCAACATTATTGTTTTGTGTTTTTTCTTTCGCATTAATTACTTTATCTCAAAAAAAGGAAATAAGGATTTTGTCTACTAAGTACTTAGATTACATAATCTGAATCAAAACTTGTTCATCTCCTTTTTTTTTATCAATTATATCTGATTCATGAAATGAAAGAAATTAATAATCGATAGATTTTTGTTAGATAAACATGGACACGAAATTGTTAATGCTGGTAGGCTGCTGTTAGTTGGGTTTTTTTTTTAAAAAAAAAAATTGTATATAAAGATTTAAATGCGGTCGTTGGTGCTTATTTACTTAAGCAGCCACATTAGTTTTCGTAGGCTCCCCATAACCCATTGAGTGGGGATTCATTTGCTTGAACATGTGGGAAAACAAGAATCATCAATGGCTTAGAACTAGTTGATGAATAGACCCGTATGTCATTTATAATGTATTATAATTCTCTTTGGTCGGTATCTTTGTTTCCTTTTTCATTTTTATAAAAAATATAAAAATATCAATAAGAGGAGATTTTGATTGTTGGACTCTCCATTGAGCTCTTTTGAGAAAAATATAACGTTTGGTATGAGTGAAGTGAAAATCCATTTCTTGTAATATATTTAATTAAATTATATTATAGTGTTTGTTTTATAACAGATCACTGCAATGTAAAATTACTATGTAATTACATTACAGCCAATAGATGTAATGTGATTGTAGTCCAAAATTAATGCAATCACATTACATTACATTATGCAATGTTCTTAAAGATAATTTTACCCTTCAATTTTATTATTTTATTAAAAATAGTTTATAATATTATAATTAAAATAAAAAAATTAAAATAAAATATATAATATAATAATTAAATTTTAAAATAAAATAAAATATAAAAAATTAAAATTTATATAAT